TAACATTTTGTCAGGTGAATGTTTTTAAATTCTAATGAAGGGAAAATCATACCTTTTCTGTTCTTTTAAAAGAAATTCAAAAGTTCCAAATGACGAAAGCTTGCTTCCGCTTGTGCGCAGATTCTTACAGAACCGAGTTCTAATTGGCCAATCGCCGTTATTCGTGAAATATCTTAAGTAGATCATTTTGACATTTCATTTGCATGATAAGTTTTACATAATACACGTTATTAACCCAAAGGGGGTGGTAAAGGGGGGGATGCCATCCCCCCTCAGTTCGAGCCCTGCCTATATATAAATACACACGTTTGAATTTGAGTGTTACAATATTAATAAATAATAAGACAAAATTGTGTGAAATGTGTTGCTTCATACTGTATCTACACAATCAAATCTTATACAGTTCAGTACAGTAAAATTACAAAAAAACAACCAGAGATGAAATTTGACAGAAAATCAGATATTGTACAACTAGCTGAATATGATAATAGAAGAACAATAAATAATAATAATAATAATAATAATAATAACGGTTTCGTGGTCAGGACTCGTTGGTCAATTATGGCATGTTATTGAAGCCAAATTACAGGTCAAGTGATTCAATGTGCTTCATTGTCTTCCCCTGCCAAAAAAAACGGCTTTGTAGATGCACTTCATCTTTTTGAGCACTAGATAGCAGTAAAAGTGTAGAAAAGCTGTATTAAAGGCCTCATTACTTTCGTAAATTGTGTATAAAACGCTTATGATTTAAACAATGTTTGTACCGTAATGATAAAACATACAAAATAAATCAGTGAATCTTTATAAGTATGTTTCAGTAAACAGATTGTATCAAATGAGATGATTAAAAAAAATACATACTAAATTTTACATTGACTAAACTCATACCTGCAAATTTGCATGATGCAAAAACCATTTTAACAAAAAAGACATTGTCACGTATTGACCTTTCGGCTTAATACAAAACATAAAATCTGTATGTATTTTTCAAATTCAAAAACAAATGCACCTTTAGGCTGAAATATTCTCTACACAAGAAAATGAACACAGTTTAGGTTTGAGTTTCATATGAGCAGGGAATGGAAAACAAGCCCTTTAACAATATACAAAATTAGCACATGCATTCAGTAATAGACAAGCTCATAAGCACAAAATGTTTGTCTATAAATAAGAATAAACCATATTTCTTTTCAGATCTACAGTAACTCCGACCACAGCAGGTTTCATTTTGACTTCCAGCACATTTAGTAGATTAACCTTCATTCTTCTCACTGCATGAAAAAAACCCGCTTGCATAGATGAATTGAATAAATATCATAATATAAAAATAAGACAAATAAATCACAAATCTTTGCAGCTTTTATTTTACATAAAAGGTAATTGTATATTTGTAATTTTTTTTTTTTTTTAGATGTCATTCAATTTAAAGGCTCACTCATATCATATAATAATCAATCAGAACATCTTTATAAGAGAAAACTATATGCCTAATGAAGGGTTTGCTCTTCTGACTCATTTAAAAACTGACTGATCATCTCCTTTTTAAGCTTTCGCTTCTCTTATATGACTAATGAATCTGAATCACACATGCTCAGTCACAGCTACAAGATCTGTTCCTGTGAGCAGTGAGACATCATCATGTGAACTTAAAAGTTTTCTGCATATAGCTGAAAAATATCAGACTGAATGTGAAAAGAAGAAATGCAGTCCTGTTTTGTTATCATAGCTGTCAAAGAAACTTATTTCTGGGAGTGTTGAAGGCCAAATTCACTTCATTCTGAGAGTTGGCGGGGTTTGTTCTGCCTGTCATGTTCAGTCTGACAAACTATTTCAAAACTTTCAGATACACCCACCATTTGAACAACAGGAACTTCATCTCACTGTGTGATCAAATCCATTAGCTATCTGCGCAGATTCAATACTTTTATGAACCAATAAGCTGTAAGTTCCTTACTTTTCTATATTCAAAACTATGCAATTTCCTTCCTTAACAGTCAAAAGTCTGCATAATGAAATCAAAACATGCCCAATGGGCACAACCCTTTTGACATTATGATTATTTACATGATTAGAAATGTCTTTAAAGTTTAGTATTGGTCACAAAATAGAAACAGGAAATTCTGTCAATGACAAAAAAAAAATGCAAGTAGCATTTCCAGTTGTTTTGCTTGTCTTTCTGTCCTCCCCTGTCAAACTTTATGATCTGACATCATAAAGCAGCAC